GAGAGAACAGAATAGAGATCCAGAAATAATGGAGTCGAGCAATCTAACAGATGCAGAGTTCAAAACACTGGTTATAAAGATGCTCAGTGAACTTAAAGGAAGTATAGATAAATTCAGTGATAGCTTCAACAAAGAGATAAAAAACATAAAAATGGAAATGGAAATTATAAAAGGGAACCAGTCAGAAATGAAGAACATATTATCTGAGATGAGAAATATTTTAAATGGAATAAACAGATTAATAAAGAAGAGGATCAAATGACCTATACAGAGGATGAGGAAGCCAAGAACACTCAATCAAAATGGCAAGAACAAAAGAAGCTAAGACTATAATAATAATTTAAGGAGCCTATAGGACACTCTTAACTGTAAAATATTTGTATCATAGGGGTACCAGAAAGAAAACAAGACATTGAAGAGCTATTTGAAGAAATAATGATAGAAAACTTCCCTAACCTAGTGAAGGAACTAGACATAAAATCACAGGAAGCTCAGAGTCCCAAAAACCAGGAACCCAAAGAGGCCCACACCAAGACACATCATAATTCAATCTTGAAAGCAGCAAGAGAAAAGCAGTTCGTTACCTACCAGGGAGCACCCGTAAGACTGGCAGCTGATTTCTCAAAAGAAACCATGCAGGATAGAAAGGTTTGACACAAAATATTCAAAGTGATGAAAACCCAGGATTTACAACCCAAAATTCTTTGCCCTGAAAGCTATCATTTAGAGTCGAAAGACAGGTAAAGAGCTTCCCAGACAAAAATAAGCTAAGAGATTTTATCAACACCACGACAGTATTACAGAAAATGTTCTTTAAGAAGAAAAAACATGTATCAAAAACAAGAATAAAAAATAGTAATAACTACATTCCTTTCAACAAGTACCTCAAATAGAAAAGAATTAAGTGCTCCAACCAAACGATAAAGTGACTGAATGGATAAGAAAACAAGAGCCTACATATACTGCCTACAAGAGACTCACTTCAGATTAAAAGACACACAGAGACTAAAAGGAAGGGGATGGAAAAAGATATTGCTTTGTTAGACCTAGGGGGTATTGCACTGAATGAAATAGGTGGGATAGAGAAAGACAAATATCGCATGATTTCATGTACATGTAGAATCTAAAGAACAAAATAAACAACAAAAGTGGAAACAAACTCATAGATATAGAGAATATTTTGAGGGCTACTAGATGGGTGAGGAGTTGGGGGGACAGCAAAAAATGGCAAAGGGATTAAAAGGTACAGATGGATAGTTGCAGCATAGACATGGAGATGTAGAGTGTAGCATGGGGAAGATGGTTAATAATGTAATAAATATGTAAGGGGAAGAGGGGTACTAGATTTAGTGGGGTGATCACTTTGTGAGTTACATGGATCTCTGATCACTATGCTATACAACTGAAACTAGTATATTATTGTATGCCAACTATAATTGAAAAAAAACTCATTGAATTGTACAATGTAAATACAAGCAATTAATTATCTGTTATATTTCAATAAATCCAAAAAGAAATAAAAAATTTTTTTAAATAAAATGGGAAAAAAAAATAATGGTAATAAATTAGATGGTGTTTCTGCAAATTCCTCTGTCACCTTAGTGCAAATTAGAATGGGCTCTTTTCTCCCCTTCCTCTGCCAGCACTGCTCTGTATCAGAGTCTATGGCTTACTAAGTAGAGTGTGGGCTAGGTCCCAGCTCTGACTCACCCCTTTTGCTGGCTGCTCTTGTTTAGTTCACAACCTGCGCAACTGTGAGTGGAGGCCTTGGAAGGATGAAGACTGAGTAGTCAGGAAGGTTTCGTGGAGGAAAGCGGGACATGAATTGGTTTTAAACTGACGTCATGAATTTAGAGCAACTGCAAGAAGCAGTAGGAGACCTTCTCTGTTGGGAACTGTCGGAACAGAGATGGGAAAGAAGTGATGAAATAGAAGGGAAAGA